TATATATATATATATATATATATATATATATATATATATATATATGATATAATATAATAATATTATATATAAAATATTAGATAGATATATATCTATATACATACATGTACTGTATACATACATGATCTATATACATGTATGTATTAAAAATGAAAAAATAATAAATCAATCAAGATTATTACTAGATATGACTACCGATCAAAAATTTGAACGCATCACGGATAACAGATAAATCAATAAATAAAGATTATTGATTAATGCAATCAATCTCGGCTTCTCTCCAGTTACATGTAATATATTTAAAAAAAAGTCTTATTGTTATTCTATTGCGCGGACATCATACTAGCAATGCCTAAATCGTTTTTAAAAAATGTAAAGATGTATAAGATGTAAAAAATGCGAAATGCGTCCACACTTTGGCCGGTAGTGTATGTAATAAGATAAAATCAATTAATAATCAATAGATCAATATTTTCTGATAATAATATTCCTGCTAAATAAAAGATCGCTCCTGCAATTATATCAAAATAATATATCTAAGTAACGTTATAATACAACGCTATATTTCTTTATACATTTGATCCTCTACAATTATATTGCTGCCTGAAACAATTAATGTTTGATTGTAATACTCATCAGAATGAATTACTATTTTTTATGTATAATATTACAAATCTGATTACTTACGTTTAGTTTTCTAGGATTGTTTCTGCCGGTTTTATGGTTTTTTTGGATTATCTTTAATAGTACTTTGTTTATCCTCCTCGCTGCTGATTTTTTTTTCCGGACTCTTCATGGCGTTTCTCGCTTCTATTCGCTTACGATTTAAAAAAGCCATACCGTGTACTCTCAAGTGCTTATCCACTGCAGCTTTATCCTCAAAAACTGCCATACAGACGTGGCACTGATTAGCCACCGTCGTTCTCCCTTCTGCTTCTGAATCGCTATCAACGCCAAGAGCGTAAGAAGGATTTTGACTCATATAATTGATAGGATCTTCTATTCCGTGAAAAGCTTTAAGATGCATCTGCAAGCTGGGTGCAACCACAAAGTTCTCGCCACATTCCAAGCATATGAGATACCGACCTTTCAATCGATGATTGGCAGCAATATGCTCTCGCAAATTGGCCATATCAGTACACCGTTGATCGCACTTCTTGCATTTGAAGTTACCCTCTCCATCTTCCGCTGTTTCCTGTTCCACGCACAATCCTAGAGGCGCATTCGCCTCTTTTATTTCTGTGTGTTTCTTCGGTGTCCACCGGCGCTTTTTTTTCGACAACGCGCTATCTACTTTCCGTTTCTTGCTACCGATAAATTGCTTGTAACCGCCGTTAATAAAGTCAGGTGATATCCGCAGCAATTGTGGAGTGGCTGTCGCCGTCAATGTGTATTCGTGCGAGTGTTTCTCACGAAAGTGTGCCCGCACCACGGGCCACGAAGTGTTGATCTGTTCGTTACACGAATGACACAGGTAATCAATATCTTTCTCTTGTATATCGTTGTTTAGTTTAGCAGTCGTTCTATGAGCGAGAGACTTCTCCGATATCTTTGATTGATCTTCCGGCTCGTTGGCTTTCGCGGATTCAAGTAAATGTTGTGGCATCCTCGTGAGCGGAGGAGGTTTCGGGATGAACGTCATGTAGTTCACATTTTTATTTCTTGTTTGTGTTTCGCACAGTTCGACGGCTAGAAGTGGTTCGATGTCCGGTTTACATATTTTCCTAATATCAATCACTTTTATACAGCCATCTGTACTTGTTCTGGATGTGGACTCGGAATCTGGAACTCCTTTGTCCGATTCCGTTGACGAGTTTATGCGGGCATCATCCGTGTCTGTTAATAAAGGTCTTTCGAATCCGGAAACACATGAAGAGATCGATTTGCTGTTACTTTCGGACTCTTTTGTCTTTTCTGTCTCTTCTTTGTAATTAGATTTACTATCATTTAATTCCGTGGTTGATTTTTCCTTATATGTTAAAGGATCCTCCTTTTCAGCTTCAATTTTAATTATTTTTATTTGAGAAGATTGAGAACTCTCTTCCGTTTCTATCTGCTTAGCTATCGATGGCTCTAAATCAGCCATTGATCTAATATCTAAAATTTTTGGCAACTTATAGGATTCTACTTTTTCTTCATCATCAGCTTTTTCCGTTATTGGCTTTACATCGGCATGCTGATCAAAATGTATAATCCCTGTGTCTTCTGTATTTTGTGAGCCACGTTCAAATATTTCTGATGAAATAGTCCGAGTATTTACAATTTTTGGTATTAAAGTATCATCCATGTATCTGCATGGCATTTTAATTGGAGATTCTGCGCCTGTGACAACCGTATTTAACTTAGATGTTAAAACTTCTGGGCCGAACATATCATGCAATATTTCCATACTATACAGCTTCGACAAAGAATATAAGTGCTTGCTGCGCAAATGAGAAATTAATACTGCCGTCAAATGTTTGTGTTTTAAAGTCACTAACGGACAGAAGGGACATTTAAACCATAATATTGTTTTAATTCCAGGATGCATTTTCAAGTATGCCATGTAATTCTCATGACGCACGGCGAAATCGCCTAATTTGCATATCACTAGTCGTACTGGATTTCGCTTTGAGTTTAACGAAGGGTGTGCCTCCGTACAATGTTGTATATATTCATCGGACGAACGAAATATCTGTAAACAATCTCCGCAACCGACATACGTATAGCTATGCATAATGACAAAGTGTCTAGTAATCGATTCCATATCCCTAAAGCCATCTATTTGACAAATTTTGCAACAAAACATACGCTTCTTTAATTTGTGAAAGCAAACAGTCCATAAATGAATTTCCAACGATTTACTAGAGCTGAAGCTAACATGACAATCAGGACAAATGTAAGGTTTCCTCTTCTTATGTAAGTTTTGATGTGCAATTAACTGTGATTGGGTTTCTTGGTAAGACAGGCATTCGCCACAAACTTCTTTATAACAAAGACAGTATTTATCATCATCTTCGATCAATTTCGAAAATCCAGGAACATATGATTTAGGTTTCATGAATTTATTACACTGTGAGCATAGTAATGTCTTCATTACTTTTGATTCCCAGTCGTTTAATAGCCAGTCATCGTTCTTCTTTTTTCTGATATCTTCCTTGCATTTATCAAGACATCTTTCTAATGTATGCTTGATAGTATTGACAGCCCTTAATTTTTCCTTGAGACATATGCTTGACACAAAATTTAAAACTTTCTTAATTTCCTCACTAATATGCTGCAAATGTTCAATCCGTTTTTTCAATTCAAAACTATCTAGCCGCTGAAATTCATTGATCATGTCGTCTCTATATTTGAGTACTATTCCATAATTATCTCGATAGTTATTTTGCGTAAGACGATCCACTATTTTTATCTGCATAAAAAGATTATCTTTTTTGGGAATTATAGATATTGTTTCAAACAGGAATTCCTCGGCCGGTTTTTCAGAAGATATCGAAATTAAATGCGGAGGTACCTTTCGCAAATTTGATGTATTTAAAGATTTCTTAACAGACGAGTTGCATTTAGAACTACTGGGCATCTCGGAGGAGAATGACGTAAAATTTATAAAGGATATATCACTCTGTAGTGAAAGCCTATGTCCCACGTTAATATTTTGAACTGTGTCCAAATTATTCATTGATGTTGAAGTACTATGTTCAGATGTTGTGCCTTTCACAATTTTTAAAGTATTACTCTCAGCTGACAAATTGGACGAATTTTCTGAATTCTCTGTACCACTTCTCGAATGTTTAATGAGATACTTCTTTCCATTTTTTATTATAATCTTATCGGCCACCTGTTGCTTTTTGATATCAATGGAATCACATATTTTTGTTTGTGATGACGTGCTGTCTGTACTATTATCCAATATCGATTTGTTTGTTTCTTTCACAGTACCCATCTCAACAATTACATTATTCGAATCCTGTTTCATAACAACCAGTTTCTTATTGGAAATAAGATGAGGTGGAAGTTGATTAATTATTGATGTAATATCCGCATCCTTTGGAGTTTGAATGGTCAATACCTTGGAATTACTATTCATTATCGATGTCCGAAGATCTTGTTTCAAAGGATCTATATTAATTTTAGGCAATATAATCCTATTGGCGGAAAGCGGTACACTAACCTTAGTAGTATTGTTCATAGTTTTACTGAAACCAGTCTTTACTACAAGCTTTTCAGTAATATTCCTTATGATTTTGTGTGTCTGTATTTTGTAACTTTTCAATGATTGTGTTTTGTTAGTGGCGGTATTTTCAGAAGTCATATTTGTTTCAAATAAATTGAGGTTTTTAAAAGATGCATTTTTTCTTTTACTATTCTTTTTAATATTGGCTAAGGGTTTTTTGGCATTTTGTATTGATTTCGTAACTGTCATGCTTTCATAACTGTTATGCTTTCTTGGTACATAACTTACTGATGATTCTGGTTCAAAATATTGTGAAGTAGGACCACAATCTACAAAAGTAATATCAGTTGACATACAAGGATTGTCTTCATTTTCTGTCATATTCTTATCTGAGATTGTATTAGCAGAATGGCTATTTGTATCTTTATTTTTGTTATCAGGAAACTTCACAGACTGATTTATTGTTGATTTATCAAGAGTTTTAAATAATTGTCGACCTTGATAACCTTCAACAATTTTTTCTATCAAACTGTTATTAATTTTGCCATTAACTAACTTCCACCATTTATCTTCCACATTATGCAATCTTAACCAATCCATAATATGCATACGTAATAAAAATGTACGTTCCATAAGTGCTTCACATACTATTTCAAGTTCAAGAGACCAGTCATCATTACTGATCTTAGTAGGTAAGGGCATCAACATTATATCACCCATATCTACTATACTTAAATTATGCATCTTCATATGTTCGAAAAATTGACACTGATTATAGAATACCTTTATAGCTCCTAACTTTTGATTCTTCCTAGTTAAACCTCTTGTTCGTAAATATGAGCGTTTATCAATGTCTTGTTTTCTGCATAAAAGACATTTAGATCCTGCTTGTGTCATGTGAGTGCATTTAGTTACAAAACAATTGTAACACCACAATCCTAAGATCCAACTACGTCGTTTGTTGTGATCCTCATAGCTACTTTGAAAACGAAAACTGAAACAACAAACATTAAATTATATAATAAATAAGATAAAATTTTATTGTTATGCAATTAAAAACTTACCAATCTTTACACTGTTTACACACATATAGTGGATCAGACTCTACAATTTCTTCACTTAAAGATGCTGGTGGTTCCATTGGCATATAAGGTAAATGTTGCAAACCAAACACTGTATCATGTACAGCTACAAAATACTGGGATCCCCATCTATTATCAATTCTACGATTCTTACGTAATTTTAGTGTGACATTTTGTTCAAAGTTATCATCAAGATCAACTTCCTGAAAATAAATTGCCAATTTTAGATACAGAAAAAAGTTAAATATTAGTTTTATTAAAATATATAGTAAAATGTTCCAATTTTGAATTCTTTCCTTTATTTGCTCATCGCAATAATTTTATCAATGTTTTCACTATCAAAGTACTAAAAAGCTAATTTTTTACTATTTATACATATGTTACAATCAATATATATTCTTGTTTATCTTTATCAAATAACACAATATAATATAGTATAAAAATATAAAAAAATAAGAATTATAAGAATAATAGTCCAAGTATGTGCTATTATTTAGTTATTAATATCTGTTATCTGTTAGGTTATTTATATCTGATATTTCTGTGTTAAATTTGATTCACTTAAAATTTTAAACTAATTTATTTCCTACATTTATTTAATATTTTATCATAAACCTTTGTTGTAGCATATGTTATATTACGCAGAATTTAATAAAATAAATTAACATATTATTATAATCACAAAACCATTCACTTCTAGCCATGATGTCCTTCTATCATTAAAACAGTACAAGACACAGTTGACAAGCTCATGGTCGAAAATTGTTAAAGTATCTTGACATACTGACAACAGTTTAGTTAACTAAGCTATTATTAATATTTTATTTGTATTTTAAAACGTAATTTATGATAATTTTCATGCTCTAACTTAGTATGAAACAATACGAGTTCAAAATACCATTATTCTCCAAAAAGAAACTGATGCGTAGAGTCACTAAGAATGCCAGATAAGATTGTACATCATCCTTCTGAATCAAATTCAGATATGATTTTCCAACATAGAAATTCTGAAAGTTTTAAGAAAAATTAGATAAATATAAGTCTTATGTTTTATAATAAGATACCACAATTGAGTATGCTTTGATAAATCAATAAGTCAGAATATCAAGCGTGACATGTGTTTATCTAAATATAAAATCAATATTATTTCTAATGCGCTATATTTCTTTGGTTTCATTGTCATGCAATGTAGTATGCTACATGCATACCATGTTGAATATATGAAAATATGGAATACACTTATTGTATACACATGATACATTAATCATATATATTATTTATATGTAACATTTTAAAACATATAAATCCATTATTAAAAAAATAAAGATTAGTTCTAGAATATATAATACCATACCTAAGACAGAACATGGATACAATCAGATCATTTATAGTTTTATTCTTTCTTTTATCAAGAATAACTCAGTTGTAAGAACACCTCTATATAACAACATGAGCATCAAATAACATCTGAAACAAAGTGGATAACAATTAATTTGTGTTTCTTGACAAAGATGCCCTATAGCATCAAAGAAGTTCAGAAAGAATGCTACATGTGAGAGTGATAGTCATGTCTATACATGTATGCAATAAGATAAAGTTATTAATATTTAAAATCTTCTGTTAAAATTTTATTAAATTTTACAATTAGATTATTGAAAAGTATATGCAGTAATTAATACCTTTTCACACAATATCTTTAGAAGCTTGCAAATGTGCCTAACCTCATACTAATACTAATCACTGCTAGAGTGCGCTGGTGTCGAATGTTTGCAACCGCGAAGTACTGCATACATGTAGGCTGCATAAGGCAGATGCCCGTACTAGACCGGAGGATGATCCTACTTGTGGCTTATCTGAGTGCATAGTTTGACAGGTTAAAATTATATTAAAGTTGACTTCCAATCGTATCAACCATATCAAATAATTTTTTTATTCAATTAAATCGATTCGGTCGGTCTATCAAAATATGCACTCGAATGAACCACAAGTAGGATCGTCCTCCGGTCTAGTCCGGGCAAGACGAATCTAAATGCTTGCAATACATGTAATAATAAACAAATATAAGAAACTTCTCAGATTGTTAACAGTGTATAAGATAAAAAAAAAAAATAAAATTATGCTGAAGGAAATATATCAATGTATCATTTCGAGTTTGCTTTTTATGTGAAAAACTTTACGTATCCACGCTATTTTTCTTAAAAACTTTCTTCCTTATTCTTTTTGGTTTCCTTTTATTTGTACGTAAATTATTGATTTTATATATTTTTACTACTCCGTCATTGCGATATCATTAATTTTCCCGCCAAAAAAATCGTTATACACAGAAGGATGTAAAACAAACCTGCATGCTGCACTGAACTCACGTGTGTAGTAACACGAACCATTTTCAATTATAACTTCGAATTATAACATATAAAAACTCACATAAAAAACTTTGTAAAAGAAAAAATTATTTTAGCTCAAAAATATGATATTTCAAAGAAGTTGTTTTTAATCATCTTGATAAACTATATTACTCGAGTAGCAAAGTCTGCAACTAAAGTATGGGTTGAAGGGTGGCTGAAGGCTCGGTGATCAGAGTTGCCAACCGGCAATACGCCAATACTGGGCTTACACGCATCAATCGAAAATCGCATATATGTGCTGTGCTCTGTGATATGCGATTTTCGATTGTTGCGTATGAGCCCGGACTGCCAGTTGGCAGCTCTGAATCCGACCCGTCTGCTCGTCACTGCAATCGCCATTAGTACAGACAATTCATAACTGGTTCGTAACATTGGTTACGCAACTGTAAAAATGCCATTTTATAAGTACAACTCGTTTACTGGTAGTATAAAACCATCTACCAATTTCCAACCGCTCTATCCTATCGTAAGTGAAAATATATATGATTTGTCATATAGAAATCGGTTGATGTAAAAATCATAACAAGGCTGGCACATTTTCATTCAAGAGCATCATCGATCAATGGACTGCACTTTGTATTTCATTTTGTGACAGTTTCTAAAATTGATGTATTGTTTCCGAGAAATCACAGCTGCAATTGCTTTTTCTTTAAACTATCGTTACGTTCAACATCAGTCAATTTATTACAAAGTTCGATTATCAATCATATGGTAACTATGTCAGCCATGTTTAAAATGGTCATGCTCTTGCATTCATGTAACAGCTTTATTAGATTCGGTTGTATTTATATAATATTATAAATAATTAGATTATATTCTTTGTTATCAATACTATAATGCAATGTATGAATGCAGTCTGGTATCTGAAATGAGTAATGTCAATTTCATCTATTCTAGATGTCTTCTTATCTCCTTAGATTGAAGGAATATTTATTTTAGTTATATTAATTTCTTTCTTCTTGAATATATGTGTAAAAATATATGTGAATATATGTGTAAACATTTTTATATTGTTTTAGTCTCCTCGTTCTTTACAAAAGTCAGAGCCAGTAATAATCTATGATACTATCAAAACAAAACCATTAACGATTACACCTAAATCTGGATATTGCACTGACAAACCACGCACTCTCGATCCAAAATTATGGGCAAAGTTCAAACATTACCAGGCAAGTATATACTGTTACGTATCAATTATATTATCCATTTTTAAGTACTAATTTTCTTTAATATTTTCTTCTGTTTAGGCTATAATTGATAAGCCAGTATACCTGGCAGGTGGCAAGAAGGATAAACTACTATTTGGATTTACAGTTGCATATGTTGGTCTTTGTACATTGCAATCAGTTGTATTTATTGCTAAAGAATGCTTGAATATTATCTAAATAAAAAATAAGTGAACATTATGTAGATAATAAATGTATAGACCTAGATGTAATACCTTTTCTGGTATTACAATTCTGTATTAGCATTACAAATGTTAATACCATAAAATAATGAGAAATAATTATATAGAATCGAGAGGACTTGTATTTTTTAATTATCCCTATTATTTTTATTACATTCATATGTATTTAATATCAAATTTTTAAGATTTCATATAGAATTTTATTCTTAAATAGAGTTCCATGAAGTAAATTTTGAAAGAAAACCTACATCTCTATTTTGATATTTAAATATTAAATAACACATTTATAATATCTAAGAATATAAGAATATTCCGCAAGAATTTATGTAACTTACAAAAAAATACGTCGTACGCCTTCAACAAATTTGAACTGGAATGAACTGTATCTATATGCTATATATTGGATCGATTGAGGTTAGATTTTCTTATACCATCACTGACCATCACCGAGCTCTGTACTAAAAGTATTAGAATAACAACTTAACGGAGTTAATATCATATTTTTCGTGATAAAATCATAATAAATACTAATTATCATGGAGGAGCAACGCAAAACAACTGCAGCATTTTATCCAATTATTTCTTCCATACAGAAAATTGCTCTTTATGAAACAAAATCCGTAAGTTTTAAATTTATTAAGTGTTTTTATTATATCAAACTATTTTTTTATATTTATTTATATATTATATTATTCTTCATTTTTTTGCACTTTACAGCGATTTTATCTGATGGGATCAAACAATACATTAACACGTTTCCGAGTTTTGAAAATTGACAGGATGGAGCCAAGAGAATTAATTGTGGTGGATGACAAAAGAGAATACACTCAGGATGAAATAAAAGATTTAGTCAACATGATTGATATGGGTAATCGGACACGAGCGGGACAACGTAACAATATTGGTGGAGTTGCTCGTGTCGTATCTGCTTTTGGAATTGTTGGTAAGATTGTTAAGCACATATTCTTTTATTGCATATTGATAAATATATAACTGTCAATACTTGCACGTATAAGCTTTGCAATATACATGTACTAAATATGGAATAATTTATATAATTATGTATATATAATTATATGATTTAAATGATCATCTTTAATCTATGGCATATGTATTTCACCATTCTGTATCACTGATAAAAATATTGAAGCTTAGGCTCCTCAGTCTCTCACGCTTCTTTATTTCATGGTATGATATTTAACTGTCCTATGCATAGAAAAGACCTTCCATATAACAGTCACACTATTACTAACTATTTATACTACTATATCAAACACTAAAAGCATTAATGGAATTATTGGTAATTGCGTTAAGTAAGATTTAGCTTACTTACATTTGCTTGCTAATAAAGGCAAAGATAGTACAGTACCTGCACCCAGTTCGGGTATATCAGAGGAGCCTGAGCAACAAGAATCACAAAAGCCACTGCACAAACCAACACAAACTAAATTCACCTGGAAGAACATGTGGCAGAGAGATCTTTTCCCCAGGCCAGTGCCAGCTTTTGCTCTTCTTGGTAAGGCACAATGAGCTTCTTATTGGCAAGCCAAAGGTAGTTGTATACATATAATTATCAAACAGAATAACTTTGTTGCATAAATAAAATTAATTTAAAGAATATAAAGAAATATGCAAATTGTGAATGCTTGTAAATGCATTAATCGATCAATTTAAATTATTAAGCATGGAAATAGTGGATAAAGTTAAGTAAAATTTAAGAGAATGTGACAAAATACATAGTTATTCTGTTAATAAATTGAATATGGTAGCAATCAATTAGAAGCAAGAATAAAAAGCACACTATTAATATTCGCAATCAGACATCATGATACATCATGGTATGTACATAATTTTTCCCAAGCATGATGTGATATATAATTATGAATTTATTGTATTTCATAAGCCATGTAATTAAACTAAATGCATGGGTGTTACATACAATTGTAGATGCTCTATATTATAAAAAAATTAATAGTGCTTAGTATTATGAATACAATACACAAGCAAGCTCTCGATATGCTTTAAGATCTTTTTCAATAATTTATGAATATAATAGGAGTAAAATATATATATGTGATATATAGATAATTATATATATGATTATATATATGATTAATATAAGATAATTAATAACAGTAATAATAGTAAAAGTATATCTAAAAAGATTGTTTATTAGGTTTCGTACGTTTCTTGGAGGGATATTACATAATTCTGGTTACGAAACGTCGTCGAGTTGCAGTCATTGGACATCATACGATATATAAAATAGAAGACACATCAATGATATATATACCAAATGACATCATACGAGTTTTCCATCCTGATGAACAAAGATACGTAAAGATGTTTCAAAGTATTGATCTCAGCAGTAATTTTTACTTTAGTTATTCGTATGACATGTCACATACTTTCCAAAGTAATATGACACCACCAAGACATATTAAATGTGACATTTTCACTGATATATCTGCTAATCAGAAGCAGTTTGAAGAATCAGAAGATTCTGAGGATTTTTTTAATATGTGGGCATTTAGGAAAGATTGGCAGACTGAATGGTATGTTATAGAACTCGAATGTTAAGTTCCTGAGTTGATATTTTTTGCATGCATAACTTAAATAAAAAGAATAGTTGAATATCTTACTTATGAAATATAACACAAATATACGAACAATAATATGAAATGTATTTACAGCGAAGGCGAGAAATATGTAGATTATGGTATACGTAGCAATCCAAATCGTCGCTTCGTATGGAATTCTCATCTTTTGAAGCCTGTAGAAAAAGATTTGCATCCTGATTGGATATTGTATATAATACATGGATTTATCAGTCAGTCAAATGTGAGCATTTTTGGAAGATCTATGTACGTTACCGTTATTGCTAGAAGAAGCAATAAATATGCGGGAACACGTTTTCTGAAACGTGGTGCAAATTTTGATGTAAGTGCACAAATACAAATAATATACATATCTTATAAATATATTTGTAATAAATTATTAAATGATTGTATGAATATAGGGAGATGTCGCGAATGAAGTGGAAACTGAACAAATCGTTCATGACTCTGGCGTGAGTTGTTTAAATAAAGGACGTTTCAGTTCTTTTGTTCAAATGCGTGGATCGGTGCCTGCTCATTGGAGTCAAGATGTTAGCAAAATGGTTCCAAAACCAACTATAACTTGTGATTTATCTGATCCTTATGTAGAAACAGCAGGTATTAATATCAAAATTGACAAATTATCTGTGCTTCTACGAGAGATCATTGTTTTTCCATATTCAACATAATTTTAGGTGCACATTTTAATCAATTATTAAAAAGATATGGATCGCCAATAATAATATTGAATTTAGTAAAAAAGCGAGAGAAAAAGAAACACGAGAGTACATTAAGCGAAGAATTAAGTGTGGCTGTGAAATATTTAAATCAGTTTCTACCTCCAGAACATCATATCCAGTATATAAGTTTTGACATGGCACGCATGAGTAAAAGGTAAGTTTATATTGACATATAAAAATACAAGAAATAATTGCATAAAATCACTTATTAATTTGTTACACTTTTTATTACTTCGTTCTTTTTTTTACAGAAAAGAAGTAAATGTTATGGGACGTTTAGCAAATATTGCTTATAATGCTGTGTTAAAAACTGGTATTTATCAATCACATAATCCGTACTACAGTCAGAGATATTTATTCTCACCACAAAGCAGTACTACCAGAAAGCTTCATAAAACAAGTTCAAGCTCGACTCTATCATCTACTTTAAATGAAACTAGAAATTCTGTGAATTCTTCGACTAAAATCGATTATAGCAAGCAAACAAATTCCATATGTAGTTCCACATCAAATATCGATGTTAACAACATGAATGAATTAAATCAAATCGGAAATAAAGTGAGGGAATGTTTTGCTAGAAGAGGAACTGTACAAACTGGAATTATCAGAACAAATTGTGTGGATTGCTTAGATCGAACCAATACAGCTCAGTTTGCAATCGGAAAATGCGCTTTGGGATTTCAACTGTGTGCTTTGGGCGTACTGGAATCTCCGAAACTTGAGTTTGATTCTGATTGCGTAAGAATGTTAGAAGAATTGTACGAGGATCATGGAGATACATTGGCTTTGCAATATGGTGGCTCACAATTAGTGCACAGAATTAAAACATATAGGTAATTGAACATAATTATTTTTGATAATAAAACATGAATGAAACAATTAAAATTATATAATATTATTGTTACTTAGAAAAACTGCTCCATGGACAAGCCAGGGTAACGATATTATGCAAACCTTAAGCAGATATTACAGTAATACTTTTAGTGATCAAGAAAAGCAGCATACAATTAATTTATTTTTGGGTAAATAAATAAACGTACATGTAATGTCCAATTTTGGCAAAACAATCCACAATGTATTTCTTATAATATATATGTATATTAGGTTTGTTCATACCTGAGGAAGGAAAGCCTCCAATATGGGAACTTGTGACAGATTATTATCTTCATCATCCACCTGCTTGTCAATACTCACGTAAAACAAGACTTTTGACGCAATGGTGGGATAAAAATGTAATGAAATGTCTTCCTTATGCACTTAATGAAGTAACCAAATCCTGTTCAGAGATGATACAAGTGCAAAATTCAATGGAAGAAATGATCGATGTTTATTACGATTATCATAGGTAATGCTTTCTATTTTTTATATATATTTATGTATTGTCAATTTATATGTCTTATAGAAATTTAAAATAAAAATTAATATATAAAAATATTATACAAAGCTAAACATAAAAAATTTTATATAAATATTTCAGACCATATGAATTATCTTTGTTGTCTGAAGTATATGCGTATAAAATAAGTCACTCTGTCAGAGACTTCATGCCACAATCTACTACTTGCTACAGTCCATTTGCCGTTCGTGTACGACCAGGTAGACGGAGAGAAGAAACAGGTAGTAAAAATTTAAATATGAAAAATCCATCTATGACTGGTCAAAGTAGTACCAGTAGTACAACGTCTAGTGCAAGGTATGTAAATTTGATCATTTAATTTTGTTTTTGAAAGTTAATTGTTAATATAAATTAGTATTATTATGGATACATCGTAGTTCGAGCGAGGATTCAAGTTCAGATGAAGATGAAAGCCATCAACAAATGGACGATTCCCAATTAATTACTTCTAAAGACAGTTCAGAGTTGGTATCATTTGAAACGTTGTTTCCATCTATGAAAGAAGTATATGGAACACAACCAGAATATCCAAAACGAAATGATATTATTCTTTACAAAAGGTAATAATGTACATTCTTATAAATACGAAGGAAATTTTGTATGTTTTAACAAATTCTTTTTTTCAGATTTGTTCTAATAGGACGCAATGCAACATATCCTATGGATCATAATAAATTGCGTTCCAAATTAATTCAACAAACATCTTTTTCTGAATCATCAGCTGTTATCACACTACCTACAGTTAAAGATGCAAACATAAGCATATATGAACAATATGTGAAAAGGGCCACAGTATGTAAATATGTTGTACATCATGAAAATACGAAACATTATTAAAATTTCTAATAAAAAACATTTTTACAGGCAGGTGGCTCCGTACCAAATCCAAATGATATGAATTTATATGAAACTTATTCTGCTCAATATAAATTGCTTGTAGAACAAACGTGTTCTGGATAAGACCAAAATAATTTCATATTTTGTAATGTATATTTATATTGTATATATTATATTGTAAAGAATTGTAATTTTTAAAAAGATAAAAATTACACATGAATAAAGTATTATATAATGTATTAGCTTACATTTATATGTGTAATTGTTGTTAATATAAAATTTCTATTCATCTTTATTTTATATTTTAAAAATTATAAACGATTTTATTTTATTAAATATATGAAAAATAGAATACGAAATATTGTTTATTACTCACAGTTTATTGATGTTACATAAGGGATATAATTTCCATTTGTATAACAAATATGGAATTAGACGTTTAATCTACTTCAGCTTCTTCTTTGGTCGGATGTTATTTGTGTGACCACACTTCTTCTTGCGGCAATTAGTTGCTCTCGGATGAAGACGAGCATAACATTTACGACAAATCATTTTGTCACAATTGTATTTTTGTGCAAGTATACGGAGTGTAGGTTCAATCACACCTCCACGAAGACGAAGCACAAGATGGAGAGTTGATTCTATTTAAAAAATTGTATTATTGTTATGTTTCAACCATTTGTTTCTAATATTTTGTTTTGGTAAAATTTTTCAATTTATCTTATATTCTTTTATTATTAATCAATATATATTGATATCTTAAATCAAAAACTTTGTAACTAAAAAAATCTAAATTTTACAGAAGACAACTGTTTATTTATAACATATTCTGATTAATTTGTTAAACTTTGAATTTAAAATAATTTTAAGTTGTTAATAAGATTTTGGGATTATTTAAAAAAAATTTAATACATAAAAAAATTAAAATACTGTTATAATAACAGAAAAAGTAAAATTGGTAAAAAATTTGAAATACAGGGTTTAGAATTTAAGGTATCGATATAAAATCTAGCTTTTAAAATTTGTAATGTATAAAGTTATACCTTTTTGGATATTATAATCTGAAAGAGTACGTCCATCTTCCAGCTGCTTGCCAGCGAAGATAAGTCGCTGCTGATCAGGTGGAATTCCCTCTTTATCCTGTATCTTGGCTTTTACATTTTCTATAGTATCCGACGATTCTACCTCGAGGGTAATAGTCTTACCCGTGAGGGTTTTTACGAAAATCTGCATGGTTACCTAAAATTGGAATAGAATTGAAGAGATTGCAAATGTAATACAATTATGACATCAATGATGTAGAGTAACCTCCTTTGATATCAAATACTATTTTTGATTTGAAATTTTTATTTATAAATTACAAAAAATGAGTACATGAGAAACAAACACTAAAATTTAGAATCAAGAAATCTTGATATCAATAAATTATCTGTGAGCATGTGCGTTAGTAACATTCTGCTTTCACTTGTTTCTCACGTTACTTTTGTTTAAAAATTAACTTATTCGAATTTTTATAAAGAACAAATAATGAGAATTGCTATTATGTTCATGATGAGAATTAACGATAAGTAAGGAATATTAATTACACGGAAAATGCTTAATAATATAAAAAGCTTACCACTCCGACAACGTGCAGTTGCAAGATCTAACCTAAAAAGACTGAAATATGGCTGCGCTCTCACTTCCGTCGTTTTCCGTTGTCTCCACTAGAAAAATGACCAGGTTTACCAACAGCTCCATTGTAAATAACACAATATCTTATATCCAATAGGAGATTGTGTTTTTTTAAAAACAAACATGGCGTTGTAAAGTTTCTAGAAGGCACGTTTTCTATTGGTTATAATGTATGTTTTCCAGCAAAGGACACAAGTTGACACAAATCGACACAAGTATCACTCTATCTTTGTTTGATATTCAATGAGCAACAGAAAGAATAATACTTTTGTGTCGCTTGTGTCTCTTAGTGGAAAACTATCAATTTATGTTGGACACAGTGTGTTGAATACGCCATCTAACTGACACTTGTTTTTTTACTCGGCATTGAAGTACGTCATTTTACGAAAAGTTTATCGGAGAAATATATTTCAAATATCTCTTGCAAACTACAACATTCGTCATTCAACATCCAAAGCAATCAATATTGTTGTGATTTTATCAGTCCATTATTGTACGTCTGGAATCAATCGAAATCATATGAAGTATGAGAATTTCTCGCTGTTTGCTTTCTTGGAACTCTGTGATACATCGCAAGTACAACCAGAGCTAATTTACCGCTAACGCTAACGTTAACGGTAACGCTAATGCTAACGGTAACGCTAACGCTAACGGTAACGCTAACGCTAACGTTAACGCCAACGCTAAATTTAACGCTAACGCTAACGTTAACGGTAACGCTAACGTTAACGGTAATGCTAACGCTAACGCTAACGTCAACGTCAACGTCAACGTCAACAATAAAGAAGCTGAAAATCGCTTATTGTTTCATAATAATTGATTACAAATTGAGACCTTTCGGTAACTACGTTTTTTTAGTTTCGCCGACAAAAAATATCGAGGCAACTTGAAATTTGGAACAACTTCCAGTAGGACATTTGTTCCTCGCTATTGAAGGAAGATTTCTGGAAATTTTCAGATCGATTCATTGTAACACACAGAGAATTCTTCTTTTTCAGAGAA